ATCCAGTCATATGACGTTTTTGGCGATGCTGTGGTGTTTGATACAACTCATCGGCTGACTGCTTTTGACATGCCGCTCGGGATATGGGTCGGAGTGAACAACTATGGTATGCCATGCTTCTTTGGCTGTGTTCTTTTGCGAGAGGAAACTTTGAGATCCTACTCTTGGTCTTTGAAGGTAAAAGGAGTGAGATATGCAAAATTCATGTTGTTAATTTACCTGAACCACTGGCCAATTTGAAGGCCTTTACTTTTACTCAGATCCCTACCCCTCTTTAAATCCCTAACTGCCCCATCCTCTCCGAAAAGGAAAAAGCATATGGCATCTGGATATCTAATGCTGACTGATTCAAATGCATCCTATGATTCATGTGCCTGGTCACGTGCTTTCATGCTTGTGGGATATCAGCAGTACCTATCTGCTAGATCAGGCTCTGTAAATTTTGAATAAAATTCAAATGTACGTATTAATCAATTCTAAGAAAAGATCTGATCTTATATCAATCCTTTTGTTATTCTGTTGATACTTTTCTTTTTACGGTATGAAGATTTCGATTTAGGAATGTTACAACGCCTCTTACTACCCGCTCCTGCTCCAATAGAAGGACAAATATTAAATTAGAGAAAATAGAAGAAAATGCATGATAAATATAAAATGATGTCTACAAATGAGTATATTCACAATTTCCACAATCTCTGTTGATATTTGTTTGTCTTTCAATTGTCTAAGGCATTCTTGGCGTTCATGAATGGGAAGGCTCCACAAACAGTACTGACTGATCAAAATATGTGTCTCAAAGAAGCAATTACCTTGGAGATGCCCTCAACTAAGCATGCCCTTTGCATTTGGCTTATCGTTTCAAAGTTCCCATCATGGTTTAATGCTGTTTTAGGAGTGCGGTACAATGATTGGAAGGCTGAGTTTCACCGACTCTATAATTTGGAATCTGTGGAGGACTTTGAATTGGGTTGGAGAGACATGGTGAACTCGTTCGGACTTCATACAAACAGGCATATTGCCAGTTTATTTGCCTTGAGATCACTGTGGGCGCTACCATACCTTAGGAGCCATGTTTTTGCTGGTATGACCACAGCAGGCCACTCAAAGTCAATCAATGCTTTTATCCAACGGTTTCTGAGTGCACAAACCCGGCTAGCACATTTTGTGGAACAAGTATGTAATCTTGAACTTAACTGTTATTTTTTACCTTTATTATTCTTGGTAAAATTTTCTTCAAGTGCTGAATAAATGCTTCTGACCACTTCAAAACCAGATGAAGTTTAGGGACTTGATATCTCTGGTGAAGGTTTAGGGGCTTAATATCTGCTACAGAACCAAAGTTTCTCATTATGTTAAAACTGGCAGGATGTAGAAACACATGCTTGCTTCCTGATAATCTGTATTCTGAGGGATATGCCAGGAAGAAAATTGTCTGTCATGAAGAATGCCATGAATGCCGTGGTTGCTACCCGCATGTTCCCCCCCACCCCTCTCCCTTAGTTATTTTAAGTTATGAATTTGTATGGTTTTACACTTACTTTACTTGATGGGGTGTATAGGCAACTTGAGGTCATTGCTGAATGTTAGAGATGGTCGAATAGTTGAAAAATTAGCATGTATACTGCAAAACCCACTCAAGGTGGTAATGATTGGTTAATCATATGTTTTTACAAATTAAAAGTGATCTCTTTTCTTATTTACATAGTTAGCAACTACCTTATGCAACAAAAAAAGGTGATCTCTATTCTTATTTACATAGTTTGCACCTACCTCGTAAAAAATATCTTTATTTACATAGTTTGCATTATCAGGTTGCTGTTACAGTTGATTTCAAGGATCAAGCAGGAGAACAGCAGACTATGCAACAAAATCTGCAAAATATATGCCTGAAAACAGGCGCTCCCATGGAAGCACATGCTGCTACAGTTCTGACACCATTCGCATTCTCCAAGCTTCAAGAACAACTTGTTTTGGCTGCCCATTATGCATCATTTCAGACGGAAGACAGTTTCCTTGTCCGACACCACACAAAACTCGAGGGGGGGCGGAAAGTTTACTGGGTTCCAAGAGAGGGCATCATAAGCTGCAGCTGCCATCAATTTGAGTTCTCTGGAATACTTTGTCGCCATGCTCTCCGTGTTCTGTCCACTGGAAATTGCTTCCAAATACCAGATAGATATCTGCCGCACCGGTGGCGACGAATCAGTACACCATCAACAAAATCTCTTCAAAATACTCACAATGACCACACTGAGAGGGTTCAGTTACTGCAGAGTATGGTTTCTACTCTAGTAACAGAATCAGCAAAGTCAAGGGAACGCCTTGAGATTGCAACAGAGAACGTTTCAATCCTTTTATCGAGGATAAGAGAACAGCCAATTTGTTCACAAGGTGTTAGAGAGTTGTCCTGAAATCAGAGAAATATTTGACTATAGTTAGAATAGTTTAATTTACATTCAGAATTATTGTAGACGATAGGTAAAATAGAAATTAAACAGGGGAAACTTGTCTAAGCTAGTGTGTAAAGAGTTGAGCTGGCTTGACACCCTTTTATTAAAAATTTGCAAAATGTTTTACTAGACTATGTTATTGTCATTAGATAGGTATCTGATATGTAAAGTTTTTTTTGCTAGAGGGAAAAAACAGGAAAAAGGTGAAACATTTACTTTATGTAATTGCTTTTGCATTGGAAGAAGAGAGCTCTTTCAAGAACAAGGGAAAGGAAAGGAAAGGAATCAGATTTTTTTATTGTTCCGTGCTTATGTTGGTTGTTAGTCTTGTGTGCAACTATACAAGCCATAGTTGTCTTCCTAGACCACACAATTTCTATTGGTTTTATTTTATGTTTTTCTTCTCTTTTTTTTTTTTTTTTGCAAGTTATTAGCCATTTAAACTTATAGACTTTTAAGTTTTACGGACCGACTCAATAATTTGGAATCTGTGGGAGGACTTTGAGTTGGATTGGAGACACATGGTGAACTCGTTTGGACTGCATACTGTAGTTAATTAGTAGTTGTCACGACCCAAAAGCAAATAAGCGAACAATTGTCAACATCCATAAACGACAAGCAAAACATAAGACATCTACATTACAGCGGACTACAATAACAGCGGAAGACGTAGGAACAAGAAATGTGTCATTTCCTTCATTGAAGAAACATCATTATCAAGAGGAAATAAGCTACTATTATTTAATTTGTCCGAATGTCACAGAGTTAATAGATGACCACATGACAATCATGGTCATAATAGGAGATTGTGTCTTCTTTGAAATTCTTGTTGATGGAAAAGAACCTTAATTTTTTCTTTAGATTAGACCTTGTCTTCAGAGATCTCGAGAAATAGTAAGGAGCAAGCTTGTTATAGATGAACTCAGCAAACTTTTCCCTGGTGGAATCATCCTCGCTCTGCACCTTCTTCATTATGTCCATATAGATTAAATCTTAAGGCTTCTCCAATAGTGACGTCTTTGGTGCAATGAGTGTCTTCCATTTAGCCCTTTCTGTTCTTGATTCTTGAGTTTTGATTGAGAGAGACAGAGATAACAAAGTGCGCAAAAGAATTGAATTTCTTTCGTTTTATTTTTTCGTCGGATAAACCCATTAGTATCGGATATCTAAATTTATATAGGCCTAGCCCACCCACTGAACTTTAGAGTAAGAGATTTTTTCCTTCCTATACCATATATAAAACTTTATTATCAAATATGTGCATAGTATCTAAATTATCCGCCTAGTCCACATTTTTCCTACAATTTCTGTACCATTCGTTTATTAGGTATTAAAAGGGCAGAATATTCCCTTAAAAACGCGCTAAAAATCAGGAAAGAATCTTGGGATTGATTGATTCTACATTAAATTCAATTTTTGAAATGGAAAGGAGATTTCTCATCTGCATATTTTTCTCTTAACTACAATTCAAAAATTAAAAAAAAAAAGTACGAACAGCTTCAAAAAGTACGAACAGATTCAACTACGAACAACTTCAACAAACTGAATTCAAATTGTAGAATTCAAATCTTCGAGATTCAACAACTCAAAATTGCTATATTCTGTTCTTCGTCGTTTTCAGAAATCAAATTGTCGATCATATATCTGTTCTTCATCTTTTCTTCTCTCAATCTAGAAATCCAAAAAAACATCAACAACAACAAGCAATCATGTCCAAAATCGCAATCATGCTACAATTGAATGGAATTGGGATAACTATGGCAGATTTAGAGATTTTGAAGTTGATGCCACTGTGGTAGATGAGAATGCAAGCTACAGTATTCTGATTTCTACAATTGCAGAACAACTATCGATTGATACTTCAGAAAAAAATTGTAGAAATCAAATACATCGTGAACGACAATTGTCCCCCAATGGAGATTAGGAATGATATGGGAGTTCGTGTGTATATGGAGACCAAAAAGGAGAATAAAAACTTAGGTTCATATCCGTTATGTATAAGTGTACGAGATTTCAATATGGAATTGGCAATCACCAACGATAACACAAGTGCACGTTGTATAGTTCGAAATTGCATAGAATTATGGTTTTACGATATTATCTACAAAATTCTACATTTATCTACAATTAAACTACATATATACGACAAAATAAACTACAATCTATGTTTAGAAATTGTTGATTTCAAAATGTTGTCTTCAAATAAAACTACAATCTATGTTTAGAACAAAATCTAGTCAAATAAAATACAAATCAGTTTAATTATGTACGAAGCAGTATTGTTTTCACAAATTTCTACAAATTGCAACAGTTATAGTAAAATTTAACTACAATGTCTGACATCCTAAAATGGATGACTACAAAATTTTCACTATATCTACAAAAAATCTATAAATTTTCTACAAAATTATAATGACACTGTTTATCTTTATTTTGATGCAGGTTCGTCTGGATCCCTAAAGTTACTTGATATGCCATCCTCTCCAGCTATAGAGGAATATCAAAGTGAAATTAAAAGAATCTACGCAAACTGATATTGAAGAAGGACAAATGTATCAAGACAAGCAAACTGTAGCTGCAGCAATGAAGCACTTTTGTGTGATGCACAAGTTCCAGTACAGAGTTAAAAGATCTAGTCATAGAAGGTATGGAGAAAAGATCATTAAAAGCAGTGTTTTACTCAAGTTATGTATTTTTTAAAAATTGTAGATAAATTATAGTTACATTGTAGTTAAATTGTAGTTTATGTTACTTTATGTTAAAACAGTCCTTTTGTTGCACCTACATTTATAATCTGTATTAAATATTGTATTTTTTTGTATAGCTACTGGCTTGTATGCGTTGGTGAAAACTGTAAATGGCACTTCAAGGCAACAGACATGCTCCTTAATGGACGAAACATTCATACAACGCAAACGTACTGCAGCTGTAGTTGGTAGCATGGTCATTCCAAAGTATTGTGATCCTAAGACTGTTTACACACCAAAGGACATACAAACTGACATGTTAGCAGAACACGGAGTGAACCTAAGCTACATGCAAGCATGGAGAGCAAAGGAAAAGGCTTTACAGTTTTTGAGAGGGAATCCGGCTGACTCCTACAGCAAATTACCCAAATATTTTTATATTCTTTAGGAGACTTATCCTGGTTCGGTTGTTAAATTGAAGAAGACAGCAGATGAATGCTTCTTATACGCATTTGTTGCTCTTTGTACATCAATAAGTGGTTGGCAACATTGTAGGCCAGTAGTAGTGGTTGATGGGACATTCTTAAAGTCAGCCTACAGGGGGATTATGCTGACAGCAAGCACCATGGATGCAGCAGGTAAAAAGTGTAAAAAGTTTGAAGTTATTTTGTAGGCAGTCTATAAAATGTAGATACATTATAGTAATTTTATAGTTATTTTGTAGCTATTACATGAAATGTAGATAAATTGTCTATATTATGAAGATATATTGTAGTTGTTGTGTATTTATATTTTTATATACATTTTCAAAGCTGCCAATTAATATTTTATGAATTAATAATGTAGGTACAATATTGCCCTTGGCATATGCTGTGGTTGATTCTGAAAATGACGCATCTTGGAAGTGGTTCTTTGAGCAATTCAAGCAGGCATATGGTGAAAGACCTTCAATGTGTGTTGTTTCAGATAGGAATGAGAGTATACTGAAGGCAACATCAATTGTCTATCCGGGCATGCCACACTACTCTTGCATGTGGCATATTTGGACAAATATAAGGTCAAAATTCAAGAAGGGTCATCTACAATTACATGAATTGTACTTTGCTACAGCAGGGTCATACACTCTGGATGAATTTAATGAAAGGATGTCGAAGATTGAAGAGATAGACCCTCGTGTTAAATCATACCTCTATGATATTGGCTATCATAGATGGTCAAGAGTACATGCAACGGTGAATAGAACTTGGACTATGACATCAAACATTGCAGAATCATTGAATGCTGTAATAAAATATGCAAGAGAGCTGCCAATATTTGACCTATTAGAGTATATGAGGACACCTTCTTGAAACTTGGACGAAAGAGAAGTTATTGAAAGCAAATGGTACCTTCACATACCTTGGGTACAAATTCAACAAAGAATTGGAGAAAAACAGTACATTATCTCAGAAACTTAGGGTAAGATCTGTTTATTTGGTGCATAAAAATAATATTTTAATATACAGCATTTTCAGATTGTAGATAAATTGTAGTTAATTTGTACATTGTAGATAATTTGTAGATAAATTGTAGATAATCTATTTTTATGATTGTAAATATTTTTCTTTCTGTTTGTTCTGCAATTGTAGGTGAGGGCTTCAACAGATCATATACATACTGTGTTAGATGGTGTGAAGCGGTACATTGTGTGTCTAGAAAACAAGAAGTGTAGCTGTGGC